GTTTCCTAGTTTTATGAGGCAGTTGCTGAGATCATTGATTGGAAACCTTTCTTACTGTTTAAAATATGATTTAATTGTATGTGTATTTATGGAGTATATCCTTATGTGATTTTTGGAAGGTGCTTTGGAAAATACTGAGCTATCAATATCAAATAAGTCTTCATTCTTTAGAAAGTTAGTTGTTTGTTTTTTAAGTAAAACTTTTTTCCTATTTAAATATCACTTTAAGGCTGTGTCTTACATTATCTATAGAGTTTAAAGATCATTATAAGCTTGTTGGCTGGGGCTCATGCCTCTAATCCTAGCTATTCAAGAGGTTGAGATCTGAGGGTCAAGGTCCAATCTTAAATTCCACACAATGCTAGTTGTATACAGATGCAGGAAGAAAGGTGTTCTGAATGAATTCAGAGATTAATTTGATTTAATTTCTTCTACTTATCTATTTCTTTGGGTCGGGAAGAGGGAATTGCTGACTACAGACCCAAGGGTCTAATGCTAGGCAAGCACTCTACCACCACACCACCAAGCTACATCCTCAACCCCATGTTTTGATTTCTTTTTTTTTAAATAATTTTTTATTGAGATTAAGTGATTACATAAACTTAACAAATTTCACAGTATTGTAGGATAGTGATACTTAGTTTAAGTCATAAACACATTTTAGCCTTCACAACACAAATTGTCATTATTGTGGTTTATAATGTTTGTGAGTTCTACAAGCTTTGACAGTACAGCTATTTCTTCCATGTTGGATGATATGTACATTTCTTTCCTTTTGCTTTGTGTAAGTTGTTCCCTCTTTCCCTCTCATTCGCTCCCTCTCATCACTGCCCTTGAGTTGCTTAGTTCATTTTCATCAATGTCTAGTGCAGCTGATGGGTCCCTCTGTTGCCATGTTTTGATTTCTTTAGTGTGAAAATCAATTCAGAAAAGTCATAAAATGATTGGCGGTATGGCTCAAGTGGTAGAGCACTTGCCTAGAAAAACCATAAAACCAGCTTGGTTTCAAGGAGTTCTATAGAAGTTACTCAGACCAGGAAAATGGAGGGTCTGAATATTTATACATTAGAAGTGAATAATAAATGGGTTGGAGCTGTGGCTCAGTTGTAGAGCACTCTCCAGTGAGTGAAAGCATCAAAGACTGAATTTAATTCCTAGTCTTGGACCTAAAAAGAAAGAGAGAAAGGGAAGGAAGGAAGGAAGGATAAAAGAAGAGGTGGCTCACACCTGTAATCCTAGCTACTCAGGAGGCTGAGACCTGAGGATACTAGTTCAAAACCAGCTGAAGTAGGAAAGTCTATGAATTTACCAACAAAAAGCCACAAGTGGAAAATTGGCTCAAGTGGTAGAGTGCCAAGTTCTGAGTTGAAGCCATAGTACACACACACACACATACACAACACACACATCAGTAATTGATGTCGCAGGAGGATCATGAGTTCAAGTCCAGCCCAGGTTACATAGTAAGACTCTATCCCAAAGGAAAATAATAATAATAATAATTATTATTATTATAATTGGGGATAGAGTGGAGAAAAAATGGTTAGCAGGTACAGTAAAACAGGAAAAGTAACTTTTAACATCTGGTGTTCTGCAGCTATAGTTCAATAGGGCAACTATGATTGGACAGCAATTAACTATGTATTTCAGAAAAACTAGTAGAAAAGAGAATATTCCCTTCATAAATGACAAATGCATCGACGAGGCAAGATCATATTTCAAAATAAGCCTAGTGTGATGGATCATAACTGTAATCCTAGCTACTCAGGAAACAGGTAGGAGGATCTGAGTCAAGCTGGGGCAAAAGCCTGAGACTCTAATAGAAGCTGAAACTAAAAACTAAAAGGATTTAGGCCACAGAGGAGGGTTCAAATGAAGGCTTTGAGTGAAGGCCCCAGGCCCACATCCTTAAAAGAATATTAGACGTGAGGAGCTCTTTTTGTTTGTTTGTTTGGGTTTTTTTGTTGTTGTTGATGATGGTGGTATTGGTGTTTTTGTGCAGGTCCTGAGACTCCACTTAGAGTTTTTGTTTTTGTTTTGTTTTGTTTTTGGTGCTTAAGTGGGGATAAAAGTCTCATGGACTTTCCTGACTGGGCTCGCTTTGAACTGCAGTCTTCAGATCTCAGCCTCCTGAGTAGCTAGGATTACAGGAGTAAGCTATTGGCACCTGTAGACTCTTTTTATAATTCTGTTTAAGCACAGAATATATGAATGGATTTGTTTAATAAATAGTATATACAAAGAGTATGGC